AAATTAGTTTTTGGATTTGGGAGATATCTGGGACAGCACTCATACCAACCTGAGGGAAATGCTGTCAAGATTCAAGTCATTGGAAGAGGGACCTATATTGGTGGATTTTGATGTGCAAATAAATAGAAAAATGACTGATCTGGAAGAATGGAGAGGGTGTCGATTTATACACTAGTTGTCGTTCCGAAATCTCAATAGTTGTTTTTCCATGATTTGTTTATTGATTTAACTTTATATTACTTAAGATTGATGTGGAGGAATGTACTGACTTTATGCTAATTTTTTGTATTTGTTTTAAATGGGAATGCTTTCTCCAGCGATTGATGACGGAAGCTCATATAAGCTCTATAGAAGAAGGGGAAAGGGGAGAGAAGAAAAGAAAAGAGGACAGGGAGAAAGAGAAGAAGAGGGGGGAGAAAGAAAGGGGAGAGGAATCAGAGAGAGAAGCAGGAATTGGAGGATTGAAATATAGTTCCACTTAGTAATCGAGTCTAAGCAATAAAATGCATAGACCTCTCTCTATATAGGGTTTAAAACAATCTAATTTGAGAAGGAAAACAACTAAAGCAGATATGTAGAGTACTAGAAAACCTTTAAAGCTAAACCCTAATTGCTTTTCTTAAATAAGTTTATCCCAAACACGTTTTTCACTGCTACAAGGATTCACACTTTTTGAAAGAGTAATGCTAATCAGCACTACTAATGTCAAGCACCAATGTAGGTGGCAAGTGCATAGCGTTAAATAATAAATTTACTTAAATGCAATATTACATGATTCATTTAATTGAACCTATCAAGTGTGTTCATCTAGATTGGTGTTAGATAGGATTGTTCTTTTTGAAATGATAAAGGTCACATGAAGAGTCCTTTTTATGGGAACTGTAGATTCTATTTGGAAGCTTGAAGGACCATGAATTTGTGTTCTTGTCCGATAATGGCTGATAATATTCATGGTTTATCTTTGTGGTACAATCAAGAATTTATGTTAAGAGTTTGCAGGTACCTTAGTTGGCCATAGGTGCACTTATTTTCTGAAGAAAAGAATCCTTCTTTTCTTTTTCAAGTTTTCCTTTTAGTAGATTTCAACTATAAGTTTTCCATTCTAGTTTCCTTATTGTTTATGTCATTGCCTTTTGAAGTTGCTCTTTCTCTTCGTTTCGCAAATTGGGTTGAAAACTTTTGTGGTGGTTTTTGAGGTACACTTTTGTACTTGTGATTAGAGCAATCGTTTTCTTTTCTAGTTTCTCTGAGGTATTGTGGGAATAATGAAATTATGAAGTTGGTATGTGTGAATCCAAGCTATTGATGTGGGTAGTAGACCATTTGAAATGATGCTTGTTTGTTATTTCTCTCTCTGAAAGACCATTCAAGAATGTGATACCTAGGTTCAAATTTAATTTCATTAAACTGAGTTACTCATTTCTTTTTCAATTTTTAATGGGAAAGGAATGAAAGCGATTACAGTATTTCATAAGCTAAAAGACTCAATCCTACAAACAGTTCTACATTGGCGGTTACCAGATATGTGCCATCTAGTCTTCCCTATTCATTTTTGAGCAATTCAATGTCAAAACTCGTGTATGATATTGATTTTCTTCGACATTTTACCTAGTTGCAAGTAATATATTGAACTTTACACGGTAACCTTTTTTGTCGATCCTCTTGTATATATACTATACACCATTTTCTTTTGTTTTCTATTGCTATAGTTCCGAAAGGATGCATAACTTCTTTTAAGAAATATTTCTTCCATTTTTATGATATTTGACTTTAGCCTTCGTTCATGGATATGTACATGTACATCATTTGGCTTTTGATGTTGGACAAGTTTGAACTTCTAAAATTTCCATATTTGGAATTCATTGCGTTGAACTCTGTTTCAATGGACGTGACACTTAATGAACAACGTTTCCTCCCTTGTAAAGTTATTGACTTACGGAGTGTATTTCGTGTAGCATATCTTTTCACGAGGACGAAGAAGAAAGATTTGGGTACAGAAGAAGCCGAGTCCCTCAATGTTCCTAGCACTCCCGTCTCAACTTCGGCCGCGGGTGCTACAGTTTCTGAGAAGTCACCTACTCCACCACCTGTCTTGGAGCCTGCGAAGTCACGTGCACCAATACCGGAGGATCAGCAGCATGAATTATTCAAATGGATGTTGGAAGAGAGGAGGAGAATGAAGCCAACAGATCCCGAAGAGAAAAAACGCATTGATGAAGAGAAAGCCCTTCTCAAACAGTTCATTCGAGCCAAGTCCATTCCAAGCTTGTGATTTGTATAGCGGTTGACAGATTTAAAACTCAAGCGAAATTTGAATTTCTTCCTTTCCTTATCTTTATGAAAAGAAATCAGAGACGGAATTTGCATCTTATTTTCCATAACATGGGCATGTTTGTTACATAGCACTAGACATGCTTGCATCTTATTTTCCATAACGTGGGCATGTTTGTTAAGCAGTACTAGACATGACTCAAATAAAACAATAGATAAGATTTTAACTTCTTATTTTTTTTTAAAATGTTGGTTGTTGCCTTGGGGGAAATTATGAACACTATTGCGTTATTGTGTTGTAACATTGGTGTATATGACATTAAGTGATATGTTCAATTAAAGGTTGATTATAAAATCCATAGGTCTATTATTTAGCCCCTGTTGGACAGCCTTTTCAAAAAGAAAATAGAGTTTTGAATAATGATTTTTTGGAGAATGTATAGTTAAAAGTAGGGAAATTTTTTTGATTTACGTGCAAAATATTTCATTATGTAAATGTGTGGTTAAAAATGAGTATATGAAAAAAGAGTTT